CCTCCCAAAAGGTAACGGAGGCGCGCAAAGGTTTCCTCGGGCCAGACGGAGATTGGCTCTCGAGTGCAAAGGCAGAAGGAAGCTTGACTGCAAGACCCACCCGTCGAGCAGGGACGAAAGTCGGCCTTAGTGATCCGACGGTACCGAGTGGAAGGGCCGTCGCTCAACGGATAAAAGTTACTCTAGGGATAACAGGCTGATCTTCCCCAAGAGCTCACATCGACGGGAAGGTTTGGCACCTCGATGTCGGCTCTTCGCCACCTGGGGCTGTAGTATGTTCCAAGGGTTGGGCTGTTCGCCCATTAAAGCGGTACGTGAGCTGGGTTCAGAACGTCGTGAGACAGTTCGGTCCATATCCGGTGTGGGCGTTAGAGCATTGAGAGGACCTTTCCCTAGTACGAGAGGACCGGGAAGGACGCACCTCTGGTGTACCAGTTATCGTGCCTACGGTAAACGCTGGGTAGCCAAGTGCGGAGCGGATAACTGCTGAAAGCATATAAGTAGTAAGCCCACCCCAAGATGAGTGCTCTCCTTCCCCAGAGCTACGGTAGCACAGGCGAAATAGCGACGGGTTCTCTGCCCCTACGGGGATGGAGCGACAGAAGTTTTTTTTTATTTGTTTATAATGAAATTAAAAAGAAGGTCACGGCGAGACGAGCCGTTTATCATTACGATAGGTGTCAAGTGGAAGTGCAGTGATGTATGCAGCTGAGGCATCCTAACAGACCGATAGACTTGAACCTTGTTCCTTCATGACCTGATCAAATTGATCAGGCACTAGTCATCAATTTTCATTGTTCAATTCTTTTACAACAACAAGACCAAAACCTCTTCCCTTCCTACTCTACTAAGAGATGGAATGGCAGAGGCCTTTGGTGTTCCCTCTAGTAAATAATTGGGTCCTCATAACCACTAGCTCTTATTTTTTTATCTCATCCTTTTGTTCCTTCATTATTCTCTATTCTGGTGTCCTAGGCGTAGAGGAACCACACCAATCCATCTCGAACTTGGTGGTGAAACTCTACTGCGGTGACGATACTGTAGGGGAGGCCCTGCGGAAAAATAGCTCGACGCCAGTATAGTATTGGGAAAAAGCTTAAGACCTCTGATTCTTTTTCCTTTTTTATTTTTAAATAGAAAGAGAAAGTCGTCTTATTCAAAATCCCAATCAGGACATTTTTTCTCCCACTTAAACATTGGATGCGCTCTTCTTATATAAAGAACTTTAAAGAAACGCGCTTTCACATCTGAAATGGGAGGGATGTTCCTTTTTTGCGGAGGCGGGGTGGGCCTGTAGCTCAGAGGATTAGAGCACGTGGCTACGAACCACGGGGTCGTGGGTTCGAATCCCTCCTCGCCCACAACTGGTCCAAAAGTTAAATACTTTTTCCTCTGTGGGTAGGACAATAATGATTGGGATAATGAACCCAATTTGATGCGGGTGGGTAAGGTTACTCTTTATGCTAAACGCGAGCCATCTTATCCTGATTCGAACTTCTGTTATTTAGAATCACTCCCCAAGTAGGATTCGAACCTACGACCAGTCGGTTAACAGCCGACCGCTCTACCACTGAGCTATTGAGGAAGAAAAGGAGATTCAAATGAATCGAGTTAAATTCCTGTTCTCAATGCAAGACCACTATAGACGGGGTTAATTCCCGTCGTTCACCCATAACCCGAATTGCTGTTTCGTTTCGATAAATTCTATAAATAAGAAAAGTCCAATAAACTTCATTTCATATAAAACCTATTTTGAATTCCATATAGTAGAATAGTAAAAAAATCATAGTATAAGATGTGAAGACAAATCTACTAGTTTATTGTTTGATAATATCAAAAAAATTTTTATTTTAATTAAGGAGCTTTTTATGTTTATAGGTTCTGATTTATTCTTGAAGGTACTCAATTCAGTCGTTGTAGTCGGACTTTATTATGGATTTCTTACCACATTTTCAATAAGGTCCTCTTATTTATTCTTTGTGCGAACTCTGGTTCTGGAAAAAGAAACAAATACAAATAATAAGGTAGCAGCAACCACTGGTTTTATTATGGGACAGCTCATGAGATTCGTATCCATCTATTATGCGCCCTTTTATCTAGCTTTGGGTAGACCTCATACAATAACTGTCCTTGCTTTACCTTATCTTTTGATTCAGCTTTTCTTGAACACTGAAAAAAAAATTTTTGCTTATGGATCTAATAACCAAAATTCGATCCGTGAGCTAGAGAATATCTTTGTATTCCTCAATCATCTTATTTTTCAGTTGCTTAACACTTGCATTTTACCAAGTTCAACGTTAGCCCGATTAGTAAGCATTTATCTGTTTCGCTGTAATAATAAGATGTTGTTTGTAACAAGCAGTTTGTTTGCTTGGGGAATGGGACAAATTTTAGTCATAAATTGCTTGGAATTTTTAGCAGTCTGGATACAGAAAAATAATGTTATTAGGTCGATCATTCGAAAGTACCTAGTGAGAAATTCTATATTTTTTATTTTAGTAAATTATAGTTTTGGAACTCTAGTATGTATTCTAAGTATTCAGTCTTTAGGCAGAACACCCTTACCTATTCCTACTCAGAAATTTAGTGAGGTCTCAAAAATAGAACAAAGGGAAAAGGAAAGGTTGCAAAGGGAGGAAGAAAAAGACGTAGAAAAAAAAAAGAAATCCGCTGAAAAAGATCCTTCCCTTTTTTCCGAAGAAAAAGGTATTTTGGAAAAAGAATTGGACTTGAAGGTAAATGAACCAGACTTGGAAGGGTCTGATTCCGAATTGGAAATCCTTGAAAAAAATGAAAATAAAGAACATATTGTGGCTCTTCTTTTTGATTATAAAAGATGGACTCGCCCATTTCGTTACATAAAAAATAATAGACTTGAACAAGCTGTAAGAAACGAAATGGCACAATATTTCTTTGACATACATAAAAGTGATGGAAAAGATAGAATATCTTTTACCCATCCGATAAGTTTATCAACGTTTTTTCAAATAATCAAAACAAAGATACCCCTTTTGTCACTAGAAAAAGATATTTCTAATACATTGGACAATTTTTGGGTTTCTAGAAACAAACAAAAATTAAATTCTATAAAAATTGATTTGCTAAATCGAATTAAAAATCTTGACAAACCAGTAGCAGTTCCAATAATCGAAATTGAAACAAACAAAACGCGATTATGTATACACAATGATGAGACTAGAAAAGAATACTTACCAGAAAAGTATGATCCCTTGTTAAATGGGCCTTCCCGCGGAAGAATAAAAAAAGATATCACGTCGATAAACGATACTTCGATCAAAAAGTTGAGAGAGAAGGTTATGCTAAATAGACTTCATGCTTTATTGTTGATGTCTACTTTTGAAAAAAAGGAAAAAAAAACCATTACAAGTTGGTGAGTTCTCAACTTTATCATCAAGTTTCAATTTAACGGATTCAGAACAACTAACAAAATTTTTAGTAAATGCAATTGAGACAGACGATAAAAAATCTTCTGCAATAGAAAAAATAGGTAAAGAAGAAATTGGTAAAAAAGTCCCCCGATGGTCATACAAATTAATAACTGAATTGGAACAAATATCGTATTTTACAAATCCACCAGATGATCATGATATTCGTTCAAGAAAAGGGATCAGTGTATTAATTTTTGAAGAACCTAAGACTCTCAAAGATAAGACTACAAACAAAGATAAGAATACAAAAGATACAAATATTCAAGCTATAAAATCCGACGATAATGAGAAAGATAAAAATATTAAAAAGAAAAAGGAAGATGAGGATAATAAGCTTTTTTTATTACGATATCCGCACCAATCTGATTTTCGCCAAGGCTTAATAAAAGACTCTATGCGAACTCAAAGACGTAAAATAGTTATTGAGGGACTTTTTAAAGCAAATGCGCATTCCCCTCTTTTTTTTGACAGGATGAGGAAAAAAACCTTTTTTTCTCTACCATACCTGGCTCAACTGAAACGGCTTTTTAGAAAATGGTCATCCATAAAAGAGTTTGGGATTTTAGAATCTACAGAGGAAAAAAAAATAATAATAAAAAGAGAAACCAAAAAGGAAAAAAAACGACGAGAGGAAATAGAACGGTTAGAGATAGGGGAAGCCTGGGAGACTTTTCCATATACCCAAATAATAAGAGGTTTTTTATTAATAACCCAATCAATTCTCAGAAAAAAGATTCTATTACCTTCATTCATAATCGGTAAAAATATCGGGCGTATGCTACTATTTCAAACTCCTGAATGGTCTGAAGATTTAAAGGGATGGAATAGAGAAACGCATGTGAAGTGTACTTATAATGGTATTCCGTTAGCTGACAAAAAATTTCCGGAAAATTGGTTGACAGAAGGTATTCAAATCAAAATTTTATTTCCTTTCTGTCTCAAACCTTGGCACGAATATAAATCGCTAAATTCTCGTGATGACTTTTGTTTTTTAACAGTTTGGGGAAGGGAAACAGAACACCCTTTTGGTCATCCACGACAAAAACCTTCGTTTTTTAAGCCTGTTTTTAAGGAACTTTACAAATTTGTAAAAGTAAAAATTAAATTTTTAAAAAAGTTTTCAAAAAAAAACACAAGTTCAAAAGAAACAAGAACAATACACCCGAGTGTAATAAAAAATGAAAAAGATGATCTAATAAATAACCAGATAATGAATCAACCCTTGAGTAAAATTGAAAAAATTACAGATTGGAAAAATTATTCACCGATAGACAAAATGCAGGCTATCACTCATAGGACAAGTACAATTAAAAAAAAACTAGAAAGAATTACGGAAGATAAGAAAAGGGTCACTCTAGAACTTGATATGAACCCTTACAAAAAAAGTTCGAGATTAGCCTTGTCAAAAAATTTTTGTCAAATGTTGAAAAAAAAAAAAAATAGATTAATATATAAATTTAATTATTTTATAAAATTATTTATTCAAAGAATATCTAATTGTATTTTTTTATATACTATATCTATTTGCCAAATGACTCAAAAAGTCTTTGTGGAATCAACAAAAATGAACTCTCTTTCAAATTCAAATATAAAAACGCATAATAATAAGCTTTATAAGGAAAATTCAGAGAGTTTTGGTGATTTATCCAACTTGTCACAAGCATATGTATTGTACAAAATATCAGAAAGGGGTTTTTTGAACGTACGTAATTTCATATCTGTTCTTCAACAAAATGGAACATCTTTCTTGATTAAAAAGAAAATAAAAGACTCATTTCATACACAAGGAATACTTCCATCTGAAGGAATAAAAAAACAACTTAAGCGGCCTAGAACGAGTCAATGGAAATTTTTTGGTTAAAAGGGAATTCTCACTACGATTTATCTCCTAATTTCTGGTCTGCCTTAAGATCACAAAAACAAAAATGGAGAAATAGGGCGAATCGCTATCGTAGGTCTAAACAAAAATATTTAGACAAAAGGACTTCCGGTAAAAAATTAAAATTAAATACTTACAGGAAACAAAAGGATGCTAACTCAGTCTTGAATAAAAAAACAAAAGATAATTTAAAAAAATGCTATCGATATGATCTTTTAGCATATCAATACATTCAGTATGAAAAAAATAGTGGAACCCCTCCAGGAGCTAAACGGGAAGCAATTTCTTATCATTACAAGATGTCACAAAACAACTTGTTTGCGATAACGAAAAATATTCCTATCACTAGTTTCAGAGGAAAAATAGAAAGGTTAAATATTCCATATCCAAAAAAAGATGTCGATAGAAAATATTTGAATTGGAAAAATATTGATTTTTCTCTTAAAAAAAAAGCGAATATTGAGTCCTGGATCACGGGTAATTATAACAATACTCAAAATACTCCAATTTTCACTTACAATTATCAATTAATTGATAAAATGGAAGAAATTTTGAAAATTGAGCAAATTTTTAAAAACGAAAAAGATCCTTTTGCTCTTTTGATTCAGAAAAATACCGAAATGAATCGACTCCATTCTAGAAATTCTTTATTGGATTGGATGGGACTGAATGAAGAAATACTCGACCGTCCATTAACGGCTGAGGAACTTTTGGTTTTCCCAGAATTTGTGTGGTTTGTTAATTTATATAAACTGAAACCATGGATTATACCAAGCGAATCACTTATTTCAAATTTGAATCTTAATGAAATGACAAGTCAAAAGACCGGTAAAACTCAGAAAGATAAAAAAGATAAAACTGAGAGTAAAAAAAAAGATAAAGCCGAGGGTCAAACCAAAAGTGAACCTGAGGGTCAAACCAAAGGTGAAACTCAGGGTGAAACCAAAGGTAAACCTGAAGGTGAAACCAAAGGTAAACCTGAAGGTGAAACCAAAGGTAAACCTGAAGGTGAAACCAAAGGCGAAACTGAAGGTGAAACTGAAGGTGAAAAGAAAAGTCAAACTGAGATAGAACTAGAGTTATTCATGAAAAACTATTTATTTTTTCAATTTAGAGAGGATTTTACTTTAAATCAAGGCCTTTTCCAAGATCTCCAAATCTATTGTCTCTTGCTTAGAATGATAAATCGAAAAAAAATGATGCTATCATGGATTCTAAGGGAAAAGTTAAATTTGGGTCTAATGCCACAGATGGATCAGAAAGAGAGTGTTCCAGATTCAAAAAGAAATGTTCCAGATTCAAAAGAGAGTGTTCCAGATTCAAAAGAGAGTGTTCCAGAATTTTTAAAAAAGACGGGATTTTTGGTCGACCCCCTTCCGCTGTCTATCAAACCAAATGGAGAATTTCTTATGTATGAAACGATAGTTATTTCGTTGGTTCATAAGAGTAAACAAATTCTTAATAAAGAAGACGTAAAACAAAGAATAATTCGCGCTCGAGAGAACAATAATTGTGATCCGCTTCTTATTGAAAATATTTTATCATCTAGGCGTCGTAGAGAATTAAGAACTCTAATTTGTTTCAATTCACACAAATGGAATGGCGTGGATGCAAATTCTCTAGTTTCCAACAAAAATAAAGTTTGGGAAGAAAGCAACCCTGGGCCTAAGGATCAAAATAAATTAATTGAATTTTTTCTTTGGCCTAATTATCGATTGGAAGATTTAGCTTGTATGAATCGTTATTGGTTTTATACTAATAATGGGAGTCGTTTCAGTATGTTAAGGATCCATATGTATTTACCATTGAATTTAAATTGGTGGAAATTTAATTGATAGTAGTACTATCTACCCTGTAGCAGGGTAGATGGTAGCAGGTTAGATGAAAACCAATATGGACACATACCCTATTTTATACCTCATTTTAATTTGGATCTAACTGAATTGAGGATACCATATATCTATCTAGATCTATATAGATATATTGTACCTCATTAAAAGAATATTAAGTTGAAAAAATTCACTTTGATTTTATTAATGAACCCTAAAAGAAAGGGTTTTCTTTTGATTTGAATTGATAGACTTAGTTAGAAGAATTCCTTTTTAGCAATAAATGTCTTTCACATCCAGTGATAACCTGTAAATCATTTGAAATGGCAGTTCCAAAAAAACGTATTTCGAAAGCCAAAAAGCGTATTCGTAAGAACATTTGGAAAAGAAAGACTATTGAGGTAAGATTAAAAGCTCTTTCATTAGCAAAATCTCTTTTAACGGGTAAGTTTCAAAGTTTTTTTTACAAAAAAAATAAGAAAACATTGGACTCATTTCTGTCAAGTTGATTTATTCTATAATATAGAATAAAAGTAAATAATATTATCCTTTTTTTCTTTATTTTTTGTTCGTTCGTTTTAGTTACTAATCAATTATTTCATATCTATGAAATGAATCTAGAACTTAATTATAAAAAATTATTTTAAATGCATATTATATATCAATGAAGGGAGTTCATTTAGTTTATGATAAAAAACTTACAAAACAGAGGTTCCGTTGAATTTCAAGTATGGAATTTCACCAATAGAATACACCGGCTTACTTCCCACTTGAAATTGCACAAAAAAGACTATTTATCTCAAAAAGGTTTACGTAAAATTTTGGGGAAACGACAACGACTTTTAGCTTATTTATCAAAAAAAAATAAATTCCGCTATAAAGAATTAATTGATAAATTGGAGATTAGAGAGACAAAAACTCATTCATTTTGAAGTTGCATAGCTTTTCAAACCTATTATAGAGGTAAATTTAGAACAACAATATGGTTACTGAAACAATTAAAAAAGAATAGCTTGGGGTAGTGAATAGAAAGACATCATGTCCTTTTGTCTATTGATTCTTACTGTATAAATTTGAAGGGAGTATTTATTTAAAACTTTAAAACAATAGATTGAGTTAATTAAAAAAAGAATCCTTATTTACCCTATTAGGTAGTTTGTAGGTAGTTTGCGTAGTTATAAAAAAATGATAATATTAAAACATAAAATAATTTTTTTTTATTTTCAAAACCAATCCAGAAATCTATTGATTAGAATCCTTCTGAGAATTCATTGAGTCATATAGTATCTAAAAACCAAGTATCTTATAATTTTATATTGGATAAAAATAATATTTGGAGGATACTATATCGATAATTCATAAAGTTTATAAATTTATTCGTCCAATGGCACATTCTGTAAAGATTTATGATACATGTATAGGATGTACTCAATGTGTCCGAGCCTGCCCCACCGATGTTTTAGAAATGATACCATGGGACGGATGTAAGGCTAAACAAATTGCTTCTGCTCCGAGAACAGAAGACTGTGTAGGCTGTAAAAGATGTGAATCCGCCTGCCCAACAGATTTCTTGAGTGTTCGAGTTTATTTATGGCATGAAACAACTCGCAGTATGGGTCTCGCTTATTGATCTGGTCCAGAAAAGTATATTTGAATTCATTCTATTTTTATTGAACACCCGTGCTCTCAAATAGGAAATATTTTTATTTGAGAGCACGGGTTTCACAAATTTTTAGCTTTTCACGAAGTAAAAAATTAATGTCTTTTTTTATGTTCGCGAAAATGAACCATAAGTATGTAGACCTAATCCAATTAAATTGACTCCAAAATAACATATCCAAATAAGAAGAAAACCTATAGATGCCACAATTGCCGAAGTAGCACCTTCGAAAGTTCTATTTCTTCGAGTATGTAGATAAATTGAAAACACTATCCAAGTAATAAAAGCCCAAGTCTCTTTAGGATCCCAACTCCAATAAGATCCCCACGCTTGGTTCGCCCACAAAGCCCCCGAAAGTATTCCTATGGTTAAAAAGATAAACCCTAAACTAATAACTCGATAACTCCAATAATCCAATTCTTTACTTAATTGAATCTTATAAAAATTTTTAGCCGAAAAAATATAATTCATTTTAAAAATATTTTCATTTTTTCTAAAGGTAATGACCATAAGTGCTACTGATAATAAGGAGCCACATATAAGAGCTGCGTAACCCACTATCATCATACTTACGTGCATTATTAACCACTCAGATTGAAGAGCGGGGACTAATATTGAAGATTTTTTAATTTCTGTGAAAAGACCCGAAGTAGCAAAAGCCTGGATACAAAAATTGATTGGGCTTATTATTGTACTTAATAATTTTGTATTTTTTTTTAAATAGGAAAGGCTATTAATAAGAGCAAAACTCCAGGAAAGAAAAAGCAAAGATTCCGATAAATCACTTAGTGGGAAATGGCCCGACGAAATCCAATGAGTAGCTAATAATCCTGTTATACATAAAAAAGTTATGAAAATGCACTTTTCTGATGAATTAGAAAGTTTTATGTTTTTCATCTACAAAAAAGATTTTCAAATAAATTTTAATTAAAATAGAAACGAGTATTATTGAAAGTGAAATATTAGTTAGTATATGTTCTAAGGTTGAAACTATCATAAAAATAAAAAAAAAATAAGATTTTAACTCCGAATTAGATAAGAAAAAAATGAAAAAGAACAAAAGATTACTCTTATTTTTTATGCCGCTACTCGGACTCGAACCGAGATGCGCTAGCACTGCTTCCTAAGAGCAGCGTGTCTACCAATTTCACCATAGCGGCATGTTATTTACTTTCACTCATATATTTCACCCATTTATAGAATTTATCGAAACGATAATTCGAGTGATGGGCGAACGACGGGAATTGAACCCGCGCATAGTGGATTCACAATCCACCGCCTTAATCCACTTGGCTACATCCGCCCCCGACTAAACTATGTTATTTTCAAAAAGGAATCAATAAAGGAGCAATAACCGATTTCTTGTTCTAGACAAGAAGGCGGAATTGCTCCTTTATTCTATTTTAAATAGATTCTCTATCTATATACTAAGAGACGAAGTCTCTAGCCATTTGTAGCTATAACTTGGATAGCAGCTAGGTCTAGAGGGAAATTGTGAGCATTACGTTCATGCATAACTTCCATACCAAGGTTAGCACGATTAATTATATCAGCCCAAGTATTAATTACCCGGCCCTGGCTATCAACTACGGATTGATTAA